CCTGTGGCCAAAGTAAAGAAAGCAGAGCGTAAAGGACTAGTTACCAGTATTGTCTGTTGGCTTGCTGATGACTGGTGATCTGTTGTCTAGTATGGGAATATTTAAGAAGTAGCTGGTACAGTAGAAAAACCACAGATCCTCAGAATAGGTAAATCAAAAGCAGGGAGATGCTTGCACTTCAGGTCCTTAGATACAGCTTCCTCTTCAGCAAGGAGCAGAATGAGCAGCATACTTGTGACATCACCAAATCTCACTCCAAATCTCATACATTTAGCATTCAGAAGCAGCACTGCTTTAGATGGTTTTTAAGGTGCAGATATACAACTATTAGGCTGTACAATCACATAGCAAGAAGTGCACTGCTATATTTCAAAATGATTCAACACAAAAGGTAAATCTTTTAGGCTACTTATAAATCTGGACAGACCCTGTTTGCATTTCCTCCTTTCTTATCTGTTGAAACTGCAGACATTTGCTTACAAGTTGCCGTATCGACCCTCTTCTGCCTGATATCCTTTGATTGAAAAATTGAAGTGGCTGAGCTGAAGTTTGTTGGCCAAACAGCAGCAACATCCAACCAGAGGCAGCTACTGTTTGGGTATTCTGTCAGAATACAGTATCCCAGCAGGGAGATTCCTTCATTTGTGCTGGATCGTGTGGATGGAGGAATCTGTTGGACTGTAGTTTTGTAGTATATGGTCAACTTTAGACACATTTGCTCTATATTCAGTTTCGTCATTTTAGTAGGGTAGTTAAAATGGAAAACTTTTGGGAACTCGTTAAAGGTAGTTTATGTTTTTTATTTGTTTTACTATCGTAATAAATACTGTATGTGCAATAGGGACTAATATTTTTTTATTAAAGTATATTTAACCCTCAACTTGTAAAACAACCCATACAGTTTAAAATAGAAATGAAAGGTAAAACATTTGTGTACAGATTTTTTTAAAAAAAATTACAAATACCCTTTTTTATAAGCAATCAAATACCCACTGTTCTCAACTGCAATAGAGAGGTGACAGCAGCACACTGACAGAGAACTAGAGAACTGACAACTCTGTGCTCTCACGCTTGGTGTGGTCAGTTTTTAATAGGAAAGCAGAGGGACTGGCAGGAACAACAGGGATTTCACACAAAGGAAGCAATACAAAGAGAACAGGATACATTTTATACAAGTACATGGTAAAACAGGCACATATCAGGAATATGAAATGATGGGTTTACATATTCTTTAACACATGCACAGTACAATGTGCATTATAACATTTTTCCACAAGATGGTACTATTGGCCTATATTTTGATTGAGATTGTTCTTCCACAAGATGTCACTCTTTCTAAACCATTTGAGCCTTTATATATATATATATATATATATATATATATATATATATATATATATATATGAAAAACATACGCATAAAAAAATAGAGGTTACTAATTATTGTAACCTGGTTTTAAAAATTCGAATTATTTACCTGATAAGATCAAAATCAATCTGGATAACATGACAGGCTGTTGTTGAAGAACAGTGGATAAATAATTACATAATTGAGCAGCCCAACAAAAGGTTACTGGAATTTATATAGAGCCAAGGTACGTTTTCTTCTACTGGCATGAATAAGGCTGAAAAAGTTTAGGCTCCAGCTGTAATATTTTTGACAAATTGGTTGCTTGGCTCCTCTTATTCCCCAGAGGAGATGTAGAGTATATTCTGTGTTGTTTTTTTTAATCAGAAAACTAGCTTTATCTTGATACTTGATAAAATCAACATCGCATGTTTTATATAGTTTTTACATATTGCATCACTTAATATTAAAAATTAATTAAAAATATACATTATTTCCTTAATGTGCTGTAATATATGAGGGCTGATTTACACTGTGGTTTCATACATCTCTAGAGAGCTATTGCTGTCACCGTTGCCACTTCATGCTCCCTCTCCCCCAACAGTCTTTTTTGTAAAATAATTATAAATTAAAAATTCAGCAGGGAGGCTGAGACCCTGTCATAATGGCTGCCAGTATCTTGGTAGACTTGGAAATAAAGCTGCAAAAACTTTGCTGGTGGTGTAATAAAACATCTAGCTGTTACTCTGAACTGAAACTGAAATATCAGTTAGAGATGAAATGTGAAAGCTGACACAGTTACAGGGTCCTTACCTCTGTAGTATAGCTCAAGTTATTTTCTTTTCAGTATGAATTTCAGAAATTACATGAGAAATGCATACACCCTTGCAGTTGGACTCCTTAAATGCCTTTTCAAATGGTAGTAAACACCACATTGTGACTTGTAGTCGTTATAGTAAAGCTTATCTGTAGGTACCAGGAATATCTCCTAAATATGCACTGTTCAGGAGATAGTCACTATTTCTGCAGCCTGTGACATCCCTTCGGAGCACTGTGCTGTGATCGTGGATTCCGTACGCATGCGCGGGTGTTATGTCATCGGGGCTCGGCCATTCAAATGGACGGAGCCCACAAACCCAGAAGGAAGACTGGGTGAGGATGACAGCACACTGCTGGAGGGCTTTGTTTTAAGGTAAGTCTTTCATAATGTGTTAGTATGCGATGCACACTGGCACATTATGCGCTTAACTTGCTAGGAGAAGTTTTATTTTTTTTAACCCAGACAATACTACTGCTTTAAGTCTTGGGGTAGTGGACAAAGGTGCATTACTTGCTTTATTGCTCACTCTGGCAGGCTTTGGACACTTTGATTAGTGAGCAGGCCTTTGGTATTAGTCCTACATTGTACTTTATTCCTTTTTTTTTTTTCTTATCCCTTAGTCTGCAAAAACTAAACACCAAAGTGAACCAAAGAAGTGCACTAGGGTATGTCATATGGTCCTCTCCTGAAGAGGAAGGACCCTTCCCTACCCCCCTGGGGTGCAACTCCTGATGGGGGTGAGACAATCTGGTACACCTAGCCAAAAGACCCTATCAGACCCCTTCCCTCCTGATCAGCCAAAGTCAACCACCGAGTACTATTTTAGGGGCTCCATTGATTGGAGACCAAGCCAGAGAAGGAATGTATCCTAAGGACAACACTTCCTCCCCCTAGACTTATGGGTAGGCCTAAAGACCCACATCCTATCAGTGGCGTGAAAAAAGACACAAAAATAAGTGCCAATGAAAAATTCAATAGCTAGGCCTCGTGACTTAATAACAAAAAGTACCCAAAGGCCTAGCCCATGAGGCAGGGTGCAGAAAAAAAGCATTTGATGTGGTGACCAAAGTGGTATTTCACACATTGGGGTGCAAAACCCATAGCATTCTCTGGCACCCCCAGGTCCTGCATTGTACTTGGTGACATCAGTGTGTGACCACCAGATTGAGCACCTTAGAAAAGAGGCTGCAAGGGCCAGTTGCACAGCATGGAGGAAGCCTACCAGAATGAGGAATAAGGTAAGTAGTAAACTTATTCCCAGGGCTTTATTCTCAGAGAATAGGTGAAGGCACTCCCCCCTTCCAAGTCACTAACTGTTCGCCCCCCCCCCCCCCCCATCTCCGAGCACTGTCCCTTGGCTCTACCTCTCACCCACCTTCCAGTACCATTCCTTTTAGAGAGTACAGACTTTTACAAGGTAATTTGTTTGGAATTTGTTAATGATAACAAGAAAAGCAGTAAAACAGATTCCCTGCAGCAACAATGGATTCCCCCAGCAACAATGGACCCCCGCAACAAAATACCACCCCAGCAACAATAGACCCCAGCAGTAACAACAGATTTCCCAGCAGCCAGAAACAGTAGACCCCCTTCCTCAACAGTTGATCCCTTCCAGCAGCAGTAGATCCCCCACCAGCAGCAATAGACCTCCCCAGCAACAAGGGGCCACCACACAAAAATAGATCCCCACCAATGACAATAGATGCCCCAGCAGCCAGCATCAATAGACCTTCCAGCACAACACAGCACCCCTTGCCATTACATACATTCAGTGCTGAAGGTGTCGGAACTGCATTCCCCCCACATTTCCACTGAAAAATAGCCCTGCTTATTCCAATTCAGAACCCCTACAGAAATCAAGCACTGCAGTGTGGAATTTATTTTTCCTTTTTTCATTACATGTATTTATATAGCAGGAACAATTTACACAGTGTTTTTATTTGCATATTCAAATCAGTCCCTGTCTTCAAGGAGCTTACAATCTAAGGTCCTATTCTCACATACATACATATACTGAGGCCAATTTAGACAGGTGCCAGGTAACCTACCAGCATGCCTTTGGAGCGTGGGCGCACAGCAAACTCCTGTGCAAGCACAGCAAACCCCATGCAAATAGTTTCCTAATTATGACTTAAACCAAGGACCCCAGTGCTGCAAGGTATATGTGCTAGTCACTAAGCCATTATCCTGCCATAGAGTTCATGGATAATGTTTTCCCTGGCAGAAGAGCAAACAACTCATAGCTGTGACGCTAATAGGTCCTATGACCCTCCTCTAGCCATACTTTTTAGAGGAAACCATAGACTTGTTAATGTTTTATTAATGTTTTGCTAATTTTTTGCTGACCAGCTTAACTTCGGGCTATTTAGTAGTACTCTAACAGAGAATTTTCAAGTTAAGTGAAACATTTTTTTAGTTGGCTGTAAAATTACTAACTTTAGAATGTGTACTTTGTGTCAAACCTAAAATGTATGTATGCCCCAACGATGAACTGTTGATCATGTCAGAAATCTAGTGAGCCTATAAGTTGTCTCAACAGTCTTAGCAGCTCTGCACATTTCAACATAGGAGAGTGCTGCTCTGTAATCCTACTGCACTTCCTGCCCTAGGGTGACAACGCTGCTTCTCCATAGATACTGTACGTTGGGCAAGCATTGTCACCCTAGGACAGGAAGTGTGTTACTGGCAAGATCACCAAGTAAAACTACAGGGGAAAAAAGCTTGAAAAAAAGTAATACAGACACTGCATCTAAGAACTGGTACCCTGCAATATATTGCAATAAATATTACATTTTGCTCTTTATTTTAAATACATGTGTTTTTGTCGATTCAGGTGGCACCAGAGACAAAAGCTGTCATGAAATGGATGAGGAACATCCCATTTGTCTTGTCTGGCAGTCTTCATGGTGGTGACTTGGTAGTCAGCTATCCTTATGACTTTTCAAAACACCCTTTGGAAGAAAAGATGTTTTCTCCTACACCCGATGAAAAGGTAAGTGGAAAGTACATGCAAGAAAACGCTGCTAAGTTGTTTTTTTGAGTGGTCAAGTCATGATAGATGTGCTGTGTACTGGGTCTGTATACGGTGTAATAGAATAGTATTATAATCAGGTCATGCTGGAGGTGGTGTGTGTGTCTTGGGTGTGTATATAGTGTTACAGAATATTATTTTATTATTATTTATTTCAGGTACTTATATAGCACCGTCAGTTTACGCAGCACTTTACATATATATTGTACAGTCACATCAGTCCCTAACCCTCAAGGGGTGTACAATCTAAGGTCCCTAACTTACATTCATACATACACATATTAGGGCCAATTCACCTATCAGCATGTCTTTGGAGTGTGGGAGGAAACCCACGCAGGCACAGGGAGAACATGCAAACTCCAAATAGGTGGTGCCGTGGTTGGGATTCAAGCCAATGACCCTTGTATTGCCAGGCAGAAGTGCTAACCATTTAGCCACTGTGCTGCCCTGAGTATTATAGCATGCCCAGTGGTACAGTCATGATGGAGATGTTGTGTGTGCTGTCTCCGTGTATGGTGTAATAGAATAGTATTATGATCATGGCCAGTGGGTAGTTATGATGGAGGTTTAACCCCTTCACACCTAAGGGTAAAACAAATCTTAATGCCTAAGTAAAATTTTGCAACTTTGACATTGTTAGTAAAACCGTACATATCATCACAACTACTTTGTACATCCAGGTGAATTGTACCTTGTTTTTTTCAAGACAAATTGGGCTTTCATTTGGTGGTAAATGGTAATGGATATCTCCTGATTCTTTTTTTTATTATCAAAGGAAAAAACTGGCCCAAAATAATAAAAAAAAAACAGCTGTGTGTTTCTTGTTACTACCATAACCTACCACCATATAACAACCCAAAATAAATTCTTCAGGTCCTGACGATCGCAGTGATACCGCATATGTGTATGTTTTTTTTTTTTGTTGTACCAATAGTACAGGCCAGAAACAATAGTGCACATTTTGCTTTTTTTTTCCTACCTAAAACACACTGATACTAACTGAAACTGATACTAATTAGGAAAAAAAAATCCTGACCTTTAACCCTGACCTTTAACCCTGACCTTGGCCCAAACACTAACTCTGGCACTGACCTAGATCATACCTCTAGGTACTTTTTCGTTATTTTTATTATATTTTTTAATATTTATTTTATTTCATTTCTTCATTTTTTTTTTTTTTTGCACACAGTTGTTTTTTTTTCTCTGCAAGGAGAGACATACAATGCTCTCAGTGACATTCCGGTCTTTGTGCTGGGAGCACGCTGTGTGGCTCAGTCCCAGCACAAAGTCAGGTACGCAAGTATGCAGCCCCGAAGAAAAAAAAACAGTTCTTTGAGGCCGCATATTTGTGTGATTTCAGTGCCAAGGGGTTAATGATCTGGGTCTGCATCTAATGTAATAGAATAGTATTATAATCATGTCCAGTGGTCATCATATTGAAGGAATGGTGCACTGTGTATACAATGTTAAAAAAAAGTAGTATTGCAATCATGTACTGTGGCCAATAGAGACAAAAAACAATACGAGCGCTGGATAACACACCTAGAAGCAGCTGGCATGAAAGGCAAACATCAAGAGCCTCCAAAGTATATATATCAAACAAGAACATGCAGCGCTACTATAATTCCATGATATAATCATATAGAGTGTCTAGACAAAAAATGGTATTGTGAACACCACTTAATCATAAGGTGGATATGGTAATATCTAAACCGTCCAAAAATTATGAGAATGGTGACTATGACTGAGATATGCTACTCACATGCTGTAGTAGGTAGGTAGCTAGGTAGTAGTAGTAAAAAAAAAAAGGGACTTTGACAACGTGCAAGCACACGAAACGCGTTATAGAGGTGCCCTATATACCCTGTGACGTCACACTACACGGCCCCTGTGGACAGCCGGTGGCCATTTTGGATTTTTACTACTACCTAGCTACCTACCTACTACAGCATGTGAGTAGCATATCTGATGTTGTATCTATTATATCTTGGTGGATAATAAAAATACCATACTATCAGTATTTTTAGTTGTTCTGGCTCGTTACTCCCGAGCCCCCCCCTCCAAGGCATATTTGGGATGATCTGGTGGCCACACAGTGATCGAGGAATCTCCCCCTGCTGGTGAGACGAGTAGATATCCCCTGGTACCTGGAGACCTAGAGGTTGTGATTTCTGCCCAGCTGTTGCAGGCCAGATGACCTTTCCCAGTGATCCAGTTTCAACAGGCAGAGGACCAGGAGTTGGTTAACACTCAAATACGCATTACCATTGCGCTTTCTGGTTAGTGCAATCTACACTCATCTCTGTGGGAACAAACAAGGTCACAAAAGTCACCAATTTCTTCACTATTGTTTCACTGAGATTTGACACGATGCACTGCAAGGACACTCTTGTTGAAGAGTCATAGTCACCATTCTCATAATTTTTGGATGGTTTAGATATTACCATATCCACCTTATGATTAAGTGGTGTTCACAATACCATTTTTTGTCTAGACACTCTATATGATTATATCATGTACTGTGGCCAGATCATGACAGTAAGTGTTGTTTACTGTGTCTATATAGAGTTTAATAAAATAATATCACAGCTATTACCAGCGGTGAAGCCATGATAATAGATGTTGGGATTATGTTTGTATAGAGTGTAAGAGAAGTGTTTCTGGGAGGTATACACTATAAGCTCCCTTTGTGAATCTTCTTCCCAAAAAGCTCTTTCCCTTGATGTTATCGTAATGCTCTAGTTTCTGTACTTACTGACTGAGAACAAGCATTCAGCCAGCAAAGTCATAGATTCTGATCAGCATGCTTGTTCTGAGGCACTGTTGTAGAGTTACAAATTAGAGGATCAGTATAACAGCCAGCGGATTCGTATTATATTCCTACAGTACAGGACACAGGCAAAATATTCATACACTATGGGTTATAGGCATGTACCTTCAGTTATTGGACACTGGAGAAAATCTCCCTTAGCTTAGTTGATTATCTCCCATCCACACATTCGAGACGCATAGAGGAATCCACTCCACTGTGCTATTGTATCCTGACAGCAGGGAATCTTCCTCTGTCAGAATGCAGTGATCAGTGCTGATCCTAGGAGACTTTTCCAACATTCGAGAGAATGCGATCATTAGATTGACTTTTCTCAATCTGGAACAGTCATAAATGGAATGAAATTCAGCCAGTCCTTGCTGAACCAGCTGCTTTTCGATCCATCTATGGCTAGCTTTAGACAGGGTCACGCTTATCTCTGACCATTACTGTAAAAACTGGGCTATCTATATATTCGCATCACAGTGCCAGGTTTTCAAACCTAGTGCTTAAATTCCATCCGAGCCCTTATGAGGAACTCAGATGCTTCCTCCCTTCCCATTACAGGATAGTCTACACCTGGGTTACTGTATACTCCTCACGGACATGCTTACCCTATACAACTCACCCTATTCTATAAGTGCCTCACAAAGAAATACCCTCACTTGTAGGTATAGTGAAGACCAGGTGAACGAGAGCCAATGTAAAAATCACAGGTGAACATTTGCTCTGTCGAAAGCCCACAGAGCACTTAAACTAGACCTATAGGCAAAACTTTTTTTCTTAATTTTGGATAGAGTAGAGGAGAGTCATAACCCCTGTCAGTATATTATTTTCCCTCTGTGTCCCATTGGGGAGATTCCCCCTCACTTCCGGTCCCATATCCAAAACAGAAAGTGAGAGGAAATTCCTGCAAATTAAGGGAATCCTTTGAGGACCCCCATGTCACCAGAACTAGCGTCCTTATTGGAAGATTTCTCCTCTATTTCTTTTGTGGGGACAACCCAAAATTTGGGATTTTCTTTTCCTTTCACTTTCAAAGACAATGGTAAACAGGACAAATGGAGAGGGTGACTCTCCCTGACGGTTACACAGACAGCAATAAAAACTGACAGGTGTTCTATTCCTTCTCCACTCTATCCAAAATTAACAAAAAACATTTTGCTTTTAGTTACCGTATTTTTTGCTCTATAAGACTCACTTTTTTCCCCCAATAAAAGAGGGGGAAATGTCAGTGCGTCTTATGGAGCAAATATAAAAGTGGCCGGTCCGATATTTCCGCCGCCACCATGTCAGAATACCGGGTCGGCCACTCAGCTGTTCTCTGCTGCAGGACCTTACCTGTTCCTTGGTCCAGCGCTGTACAGTCTTCCCGCGCCGGCTTTTTCCCGCGCCGGCATCTGTGACAGCCGGGTGCCCACTGCGCATGCGCGAGAAGCGCTGCGCTTTGTGAATGGCACATGACAGGTCCCAGAAGACACCGGGCCATTCACAAAGTGCAGTTCTTCTCGCGCATGCGCAGTGGGCACCCAGCTGTCACAGCCGGGTGCCCACAGTAAAGGGAGGACAGCTCCACGGAAGTGGGAGCGGGTACCTGTCAAATTCAGGTACCTGCTCCCCCTCCCTCCCTAAAGGTTCGCAGTCTCTGGTCATCTCCTGTACTGTCTGCAGTCTCTTGGTCATCCCCTGTACTGTCTGCAGTCTCTGTTCATCCCCTGTACTGTCTGCAGTCTCTGGTCAATCTCCTGTACTGTCTGCAGTCTCTTGATCATCCCCCCGTACTGTCTACAGTCTCTTGGTCATCTCCTGTACTGTCTGCAGTCTCTGGTCATTCCCTGTACTGTCTGCAGTCTCTGGTCAATCTCCTGTACTGTCTGCAGTCTCTTGATCATCCCCTGTACTGTCTGCAGTCTCTGGTCATTCCCTGTACTGTCTGCAGTCTCTGGTCATCCCCTGTACTGTCTGCAGTCTCTGGTTATCCCCTGTACTGTCTGCAGTCTCTGGTCAATCTCCTGTACTGTCTGCAGTCTCTGGTCTTCCCCTGTACTGTGTCCGCAGTCTCTGTTCATCTCCTGTACTGTGTCCGCACTCTCTGGTCATCCCCTGTACTGTGTCCGCAGTCTCTGGTCATCTCCTGTACTGTGTCCACAGTCTCTGGTCATCTCCTGTGCTGTGTCTGCAGTCTCTGGTCATCTCCTGTACTGTGTCCGCAGTCTCTGGTCATCCCTGTACTGTGTCCGCAGTCTCTGGTCATCCCCTGTACTGTGTCCACAGTCTCTGGTCATCCGCTGTACTATGTCCGCAGTCTCTGGTCATCTCCTGTACTATGTCTGCAGTCCATTGGTTCAGAATATTTTTTTTCTTGTTTTTCTCCTCTAAAACCTAGGCGTGTCAGGTGTGTCTTATGGAGCGAAAAATACGGTATAAGTTAACCCCAGAGTGACGATGCTTCTCTTGCACTGGAGCAAGAACTGGTTCTAACATCCGATGCTAACTCTGTTTCAGGCATGCAGCTTGTGGCCTATTTGATTAAAGCAGAAATCTCTGCATCTGTGTTACATTTCCTTGGACAGATTACAGCCTTAATACAGCCATCTTCATCCTGGTTCAAAAAACTCCATGCCCTAAAACATGTCATGAGACAAATTTCCAGAATGACTCTAATCTCCATTCACATGCGCAGAATCATATGGCTAAAAGCTTGGACAGCTGAAGCTGCCTACAATAGGCACCTCACACATATGTCTTTCCAAGGAAGACATCTATTCAGGTAGGCATTTTCCCAATTTATCGAAAAGGTCACAGATGGGAAAGTTTTACTTTCACAGGGAAAGGTCCCAAAATCACTTTCTTCAGGATCCTAGCTCTTCAAAATGCAGAGCACCTGTCTGCTTTAACCAAGCTTCAACTTCAAAACCTAAGTTCAGCCCACCAAGGCCACCAAGCCTTTCCCAAAGCCCTATTCACAATGAAGGGGGTCCTCACTCCTAAGAGTGGGAAATGTCTGTTACAATCTGCCTCACTCTAGGTCAAAGAAATCCCAGACCAACGGGTTCGATAGGCAGTTTCAAGAGGTATAAAAGAGATTTCAAAACTCTACCACCTCACCTCTTTCTTCTTTCAAACCAACCAAAAACTACCCATGGACAGTTAGATTTGCAAAATGACCTAAACCACCTTTTGACCCAGGGATTCGTTGTGCTGGTATGCGACAAGACAAGGTCAAAGGATTTTACTCAAACCTGTTTAATGTACCAAAGCCCATCAGGGGTATGCACCCTATTCTGAATTTCAAATTTCTCAGCAAATTCCTTCAAATTCCAAAATTTCACAAGGAATCTGCAAGGTCAGCGATTGTCTCTTTGAGACAAGGGGAATTAATGGCATCTGTGGACATCCAAGGTGCCCATCTACATGTTCCCATTTACCCACCTAATTTTTTTCTCTTTGCATTGACAGACAACCACTTCTAGTTTGTCGCACTGCCCTCTGGCTGATCCTCTGTTCCCAAAGTATTCACAAAGGTCTTAGCGCCACTGCTTGCCCTGCTCAGAACTCAGGGAATCCAAGTCACAGGATATTTAGACGACCTTCTTCTAAAGGATGCATCTCCCTTTCACCAATCAGAAAACGTTCACAATACAATTCAGATGCCCTTAGGACTTCAGATGGGTGATCAATTTCAACACATTTTACTCTTTGGCCTTCCTTTCACCTGTAATACTTGGGTCTCATCCTCCACATATCTGAAGCAAAAGTCTTTCTAGCAGAAAAGAAAGTTAACATTAATGAGAGTTGAGATCCAAGAGACATCCGCCAGTGAGATTTTCCATGAGTGTTCTAGGCTTAATGGTAGCTTCCTTTGAAACAATACCATTCACCCATTTACATTCAGGAACTCTGCAACAAAATACCTGGTTGGCCTGGAACAAGCAGGCTTCTTCTCTTGATTTGCAAATTTTCCTGTCCCTTTCACTAGAAGGTTATCACAGCAGATGCACATCTGTCAGGCTTCAAAAGAGATCTCCAATCCCTAACAGTCCAAGAAGCATGGTCATTGAGGCAAACCACGCATTCCCATCAACATCTTGGAGCTCAGAGCAGTCAGGTAGGCACTACAGCACTGGATCCCCCTTCAGAAAGGACACCAAATCAGGGTGAAGTCAGACAATGCCAAGGCAGTGGCCTACATAAACCTTCAAGGGGTCACCAGGAGCCAGGCTGAGTTGAAGAAAGGAAACCAGATCATCTCTTGATCAAAAAACACTGTTCACCAATCTCTGCAGTCCACATCCCAGGATTGGATAACTGGAAAGTGAAGTATCTCAGCCGTCATCACCAGGATCAAGGGGATCCTAATTAACCCAATATCTTTCATCTGATATGCCAAAATGGGTGGAAATCTGGTATCCCCCAGATCCTTGAGATTCAACACAAACTACCTCTGTTTCTTGTCAGGACTAGGGATCCTCTAGCTCTAGTCTCAGGTGCCTTGATAGTCCCCTTGTCCCTGTCCAGGCTATTTTGTGCCTTCCCTACACTGTGAATCTTGCCTCTTATGTTCAAGAAAATAGCTCAAGAGAAAAGAATGGTGATTCTGATTGCATCAAACTGGCCCAGAAGGACCTGGTACACAGACATACTTGGATCTCAACTTGGGTCTCTCTGCAGAAACCACCCTTTAAACCTATAACCTTTTTTGTTTTTTTGTCACTATCAAATCTTCCAGACATGTTTCTGAACATGTCTTTCCTGTAAAGCGCCTTTCCTCATAATCCACAATGACAAGGTTGTCTTACACCCAAATACATGCTTTCTTTCTAAAATTTCCTTAGCATTCCACCTCAATGAGGACATTGTCCTCCCAACCTTATGACCTGCATCCAAAGGAAATCCTATTACATTGCTTAGACATAGTCAGAGCCATTAAATTATAACTCAAGGTTACTGCTTCAATCAGACAGAGGAATTCCCTCTTTGTCCTGTTCTCTAGACCTCACAAGGGACACCCCGCTTCAAAGTCCACCAATACACGATGGGTACAAAATCTGATGTAAGCGAAAGCTTACATTCTCAAAGAGAAATCTCCTTCTGCGCTTTTACTTACATGCCCATTCCATTGGTGGGAGTTTTGTTGGTTTTTAGGCACCAAGCCTCTGTAGGCTAGTTGTGTAAGGTCACCGCCTGGTCTTCTGTTCATAACTTTTTCAAAGTTTTAACAGATGGACATACAGTCTTCTGCTGATGCAGCTTTTCACTGCAAGATTCTTGCAGTGACTCTCTGAGGTTGGGTCTTCTGAAACTTGTTGTTGGGCCTATTGGCACAATTCTGTTTGCCTCATTGTTTCCCACCCTTTCTAATCATTGCTTTGGGGTATCCCATGGTGTATACACATTCTGCCTGTGTCCTGATCTATACAATTAAGATAAGAGGAGCAGGCCACCATCCCTTTTGTTCCTTGGTTTACTCTTCATTGCTTGCTACAAAACTCACACAGTGGGGTAAGTTTACAAGGTTAGGTGCCCGGGGGAAGGTACATGCCTATAAGCCATGGTGAATGAATATTCTGCCTGTGTAATGTACTGAACTCCAAAATATGTAGGTTACAGGTAAGTCAAACTTCCTCTTTTTAGAAGGAAGTCATCAAAGGTGGCCTCCATGTTTGTCTCTTGACAAAGTTCTTTTAGGTTTTGTTACAAATGGTCAGTACCTTTGAGGCTGCAAAACTCTATTTGTGTACCGATAGTGAATTGTGTTATGAACTTCAGTGGTGCTCTAGTGTTCCTTGCCTGTATAGAATGTAACAGAAATGTATTATTATAATGCCAAGTATTTGAGTGTATTTGATTTGTTATAGTGTTTTATATTGATTGTAATGATATTATAATCATGTCAAAGAGTTAGGTGATGATGGATAGTTGTAACATTTCATGTCTTTGTGAGTTTGGTTTCTGTACGACTAAATAGAGTGTTATAAAACTGTACAGTGAACATAGGCTGTGGGCATGTCATGTTTGTATCTCTATTGTCCTATGTCTATATAACATGTAATATAATTTTATATGACCATGGTCAGTAGACATGTCATGTTTGGTATCTGTTGAGTCCTAAATCTATACTGAGTGTAATAGAATTTTATATGACCATAGTCAGTAATCATGTCATGTTTGGTATTTTTTGTCCTATATCTAGACAGATTTTAACAGCATTATACACTGTATAACCATGGCATGTCATGCTGAGTATCTTTAGTGTCCTAAGTCTATACAGAATTTAATAGAATTGCATTGTGACCATGGTGTGTAGTTATGTCATGTTTGGTATCTATATTGTCTTAAGTCTGTATAGAGTGTATTAGAATTATGTTGTGACAATGGTCTGTAGTCATGACACGGTGGGAAATTGTGATGTATATCTGCAAAGAGTGTAAAATACCTGTTCTGTCATAATACATAGTGGTAAGGGTAGTTGTAGGTAGTTGTGATGTTTTCATGCTCTGTGACTAGTTTATTAGGTTAATCTATACAGTATTGGTTAGAATCTAAATGAATGCCAGTATTTATTCAACAAAGTACTGGAAAAGCTTTGGTCTGTGCTGACCTGGTAGCATCAAATAGTTCTCCTTGATGTTTGTATTCATGCAGCAGATACCTTGTGCCTCCTCTTCCCAAAGGATTCATTTAGTATAGCCCAAATTTTGTTCCCATTATCTGCATATCCCTACAGAATACGAGATTTCTCTATTTTACATTTGGTCAAAATACAACTAAACCACTTGTCCATTTCTGCATGTTTCCATGTATAAAGTTGCAGCCACATCATTTTTTTTTTAGCTATTTAACTTTTTGCATTATCAAGCTGTTGAACTTAATAATATGGTCACTGAGTGCAGACCTGCATACAGAGAAACAATTTTCATTAAACGTAGCTCATTTTCAGTCAATATTTTCACATATTGAAATGCTCTGTTCACTGATTCCAAATCAAAATATCTTTAGTATTGTTCTGACATGTAGGGTTTAACTTTCTATATATAGGATTGGATAGGACCTGAATGAAAGCACATGTTATAATTTGATTCCTTTACACATAAATCCCAATGCTTTTTTATATTCAGGTATTTAAGATGCTTGCGAAGACCTATGTTGCTTCACATCCCAAAATGTCAGACCAGTCAACAGAAAGATGTGGTGGAAATTTTGTAAGCAAAGGAGGCATCATCAATGGTGCTCAGTGGTACAGCTTCAGTGGAGGTAGGTCTGTTTTCTTCACAAAAATTCCATATGTGTTTAAATGTTAAAGCTGAAGTTTGGCTTTAAAAAAATTCCTACAGCTTTAGTCACATCACTTACATGTAATGAAGTATGTCCCACAATGTGCAAACTAAGAAAAATAAGCACTGCTCCAGGTCACTCCGCTGATCCACCCTTTCTAACCCACTATATAGTAGGTGCTGGCCCAGCTCTTATCTGTATTCACAGGAAAAGAAAAAGTTTTGTTCGACCAAACATCTAAAACACTTTTATTGTAGAAGTTGCAGTAAAATCACATATCCATAAACAAAGTAGAGGGGACCAGTAGGAAACAGCTAATGCGTTTCACACTTATTCAGTGCTTATTCATTTCTGACCACGTTAGCTGTTTTCCACTGGTCCCCTCTACTTACTTTGTGGATTTGACTACAGCTTCTATAATAAAGTGTTTTAGATGCATGTCAACTGGAAATTTTTATTTGTCCTATGTCTCACAAGAAACCAAAACAGCATCTAGTGTTTTTTGTCAAAGCTTAATTGAACGAGCTGATGTTAGAAGCTGATTGGCTACCATGCACAGCTGCACCAGATTTTGCACTCTACAAGTTTAGAAAATCTACCCCAATGTGTTCTGCAATGCAGTTACCAACTTTTTGAAAATTGTTATTTACGTTAAGGTTCAAAGTGGAAGCAAAGGCAAAACCCAACTAACTCTAAATCTACTCTCAGCAACATTATCAGCCTACTATGGGGCTTCTATTGCCGGCTGCCTCTCCTACACACTCCTCCATGTTGAAGCCGCCACTGACAGCCCAGCCTGGAATTAGACTGGAGTAGCTGCAGAATAGGTAAGTATTGTATTTTTTCTTTACAGGGATATATTGATTATGCTTAGAATGTGGCTGAGAGTAGGTTTAGAGTTAGTTAGGTTTTGCCTTTGCTTCCATTTTAAGTCTGCTTCCCTACCCTTCATGTGAGAATACTTGGGCATTGAGGGCTGTTGTGGGGAAATGAGGATTTAGTTATTTCAGGAGGATCTGACTGCACTGCTACAGGATTTTATGCTAACAAAGCGGGGACATTGCTTTACCTTATCGTGCCTAGTTTTCAGCACTTAACTTGACATTGTCTGTTCTAGTACAGCTTTCTCATCTGTCAGTGTTTAGTAACTGTTCTCAGTATAAAGACAAAGCAATGATGTCTTCCGTAGCCAATCCTCTTAGGTATCATCCCAAAGTAAAACACTTTTTTTTTTACATTTTGGATAGAGTGGAGATGGATTAGACCAGCTGTCAGGTTTTTATTGCTGTCTGTGCCCCCGTTAGGGAGATTCTCTATCTGTATATGTACTGATGGCAAAATCATGAGTGGTCACCAGAACAGGAATTCTATTTCTGGTGACTCTAGTGGCTATCAGGGAATTTCTTCACTTTGAAGAGATTTCTTCCCACATCCTGTTGTGGCTATGAGACAGGTAATTGATGAGAAACCTCCAGATGGCAAGAGGTTTTAACCCTCCTAAACTCCATGAAAAATAAAGAAAAAAGTTTTGCCTTCAGCTTAGCGGTATGATTATGTCAATATTTCTGTGCTCAAAGCGTTACATTTTTTTGCATGGAAATATGTCATTTCTTTTACTGTAGGCCTGTAATTTTTAGGAATAACTCACTGAAATCTGTCCGAACAAGAGCCTACTAAACATCCCGGGTATGATAAAATTTGAAACACAAAATCATAAATTATAATATAATAAATAATCATAAATAATAATAATAATACATTTAATTCAATAATGTAATCAAACCAAAAACACTGAAATTTGAAATATATCGCCAAGTTCACACATCACTGAGCTTAGTCGCAAAATCGTTTTCAGTGTCTGATGACGAATTTCCCCCGCGAATCATTATCACTCAATTCTGCAAGTAGTTCTAATTTACTATTGCTGTTCTCTAGCTGGCTAAAACCACTTTTGACCTAAAGGGACGCTTTTTGGACGCCATGGACGTTTCTCAGTTTCCAGGCAGAAAGAACAGTAACAATGCAGGCAGGGCACAGGACAAAGCACTCGGGACAAAATGTATGTGAAATGGTTTAATACAGGAATGTTTTACTATGTGATTTATGTGTATTGAGTGAATGTCACTTGTTCACATTTTTAAATTTCCCACGGTTCCGGCCCCGTACATCCTGTACGTCCCAACGTTCGCAGGGACCGGAACCCGGAAGACGGATGCCGGCATTGGCCAAAGGACATGGCCGGGGATATTGCAGGGGGGACATTGCGGGAGCGAAGGACAAGGTAAGTGAAACAGGGATCACAGAGCAACGCTGCAGCATAATCCAGAGTGTAGCTCAGGGTTACGACTTTTGGCACTGATAATTAACCCCGAGCTACACTCGGGAATACTGCCAGGGGGGTTGAATGACCGACTCATCACAATTGGCTGTTCTGTGCGTGACCACCTTTTTTTTTTTTTTTTTTGCTCTTAATTCAAGTAAACATAAATGGTCAGCTATTTTTTTCCCTTGGCATATTTCATGTAGTATGTGATATGTCAGTACTGGCTTCATATATTCATATTCTCTTCCAGGAATGTCAGACTTCAGCTATCTCCACACAAATTGTTTTGAACTTACCCTGGAGCTGGGATGCGAGAAGTTCCCAACTGAGGATGAACTGTATACGGCCTGGCAAGACAATAAAGAATCTTTGCTGAGCTTAATTGAAATGGTACAGTGCACAGGTTTTAAGCATGCAGAGTTATGACACAATATTTCAGCTCTATGTCAGTTTGAAGTCAGTCTCTGTGAATGAGGCTGGGGTAGGGAGGATGGTGTAGAAGGGAGAGGGGGGCTTTTCGAGGCTCAAGAGGAAGTGCTCAATTGTTCCATTCATTAACCGTCTTTCTTATTGATATTTGACATATGGGCCAATGTACTGGGCAGTGGCACAGGAGGGGAGGAGAGGTGGGGATCGAGTAACTCAAACCGGTATAGAACAAAAAAGAAGAACCATTTAAGGGAAACAAATTCCAGATATAACCTGTGTCATTATTCTTTTCCTCAGCTTGAAGACTGCCAATCTTACATTCCTCCACACCATCAGGGATTCTTTTTCATCTTTCTCCAAATAGCATCACTTGTCAGAAAGGCCCTTCTTTGCAATGAAAGCTTGAGTATATTTCCACTTCAAGTTCCTTTAACATGCTAAATTTATTTAACTGGCCCAGACCTAAAGGGATGATCTAATAAAATGCAGTTTGTAAGTTTCTCAAACCCTTTTTTGAATTACCCAAACTTAACTAAAGTGACACTAAACTATATCCTTATTTTTAAAAATAATTTGCACATATCCACGACTTAATGGCCCTGTAATCTATTTTTCATGACATTGCTTCTTATTGTGTTTTTTTTCTAACTCCTTTTAACATCCTCCATGAGCTTCTGAACCTATCCCTTTCCCCTTCAGTTCCATTTGTTTGAAACGAGCAGTGCACGTTAGTTGCTGTCATGTGCACCATTCTATGTACAGTACATATCTTATAGTCCCTAGCTCATCTCGGGAGTAAGAAAGAGAGGGTGGCCAAGTTCCTACATACAGCTGGACTATGGAGAAAGCCACCCTCTAGCAGGAAGTTGTATCGCAGCAGTAAAAAAAAGGAATTTTAAGAGGACGCTGTGAGCAATAGAAAGTATTTTTTGAGTTACCAGTATATACTTGAATAGAATACATATTTTTTTAAACTATAATTTAGTGCCACTTTAAAGTAGTACTAAACTTAGAAACAAACATGGAATATATTGCAGCTTACCAGTCTTTAAATGTGGTGGCTAAATTTGTTTTCCTTTTTTTAGGGCTTTATTCCTTTATTTCCACCTGGTGGTCTGACTAGTAAGCCTGTTATTTTTCAGCTCCCTTTAGCACACCAAGCTGTCCAACATATGTGGTTATGTGCACCACTCTATGTACAGTACAGATCCCACGGCCCATAGTCCATCTCAGGAGTGAGAGAGGGTGGCTACGTTCTTACAGTGGGACCATGGAGAATGAATGCAGGCACCCTCTAACAGGAAGTCAGATCATAGCAGCAAAAAAAAAAGAATCTTAAGATTTAGTGGAGGCAGAAAGCAAAAAAAGGTATTTTTAAAGTTAGGAATACATACTGGAATGGAATATTTTTTCTTTAAGTCAGAGAATAGTATCATTTTAAGGCTGTACTAAACCCCAAAACAAACAATTATAACTAGTTTTCTTTTTTAGGCATCTTTCCCTTTGTTTCCACCTGGTATTCTGACCAGTAAGTCTGTTATTTTTCAACTCCCTTTATCAGACCAAGCTGTCCATCAAAAGTGGCAAGGTTGAGCAAAATTATTTAACACTGACATGGGTGCTTACAATGATCAGCTTTTATTTATTTATTTATGTCAAAAAAGAGAAAAAAAAATGTTACTGTAACTGCCTGTAAAGTGTTAGCTTGAGTTCAGATTTAATTTGTTAGTCAAAGTGGTTATATAGGCTTAAGGTTTTTAAACTTATGGAAAAAACATTCTGTGTGCAGCAGCCTCCCCTAATCCAGCGATGTGCTTGAGAGCCTTGGCTCTCCAGGGACTCTTCCTCCTCATTGGCTGAGACAGCAACAGGAGCCATTGGCTCCTGCTGCTGTCAGTCACAGCCAGTGAGCCAATGAGGAGAAAGAGGGGATGGGGCTGAGCTGCAGCTCTGTGTGTCAATGGACATGTAGAGCAGCGGCTAGGGACCGAGCCTGCTTAGGTGCCCCCATAGCAAGCTGCTTGGGGGCACTCAGCAGAAAGGAGGGGCTAGGATTGCCAGTGGGGGAGCTGTGTTTTTTTTTTAATTGCCTGTAATATCACTTTTCGTCCATCTAAATCTGCTAGTACATCTAATTCTACCATCTACACAGATTGACAATGCTGCTGTCCAAAGGTGTCTCTTTTGCTCCTCCGTCCAGAGCCGAGACATCCTAAGACAGTGTTATTTTCACTAGGAAAAAATAAAGGGGAAAAGCCTAAAAACAAAATGAAGGCAGGCACCACATTTAAAGTCGAACTCCAGGAATTCAACCAATTTCTAAAATGTGTTGGGTCACTAGGTGTATGCCACCTCTTAGATTTATCTCTTTTAATTACAGTTGACAGTTTTACTGAGAGCTGGGATTATAGCAATCTCACAGGGGAGACACTGCTTTCTTACAGCAGCTACTGTGCCCGCCCCTCCCCTCCCCTTCGCTGTCCATTCCCAGAAGGCTTTGTATTTTGTGAATGGGTCCACATAATAAATAGTACACTGTGATTGGGCAGAAGGAGAGGAGGGGTGGACACAGCAGCTCCATTCGAGTTTGCATCTGCAGAAGCTGAGACCAGCAGGGCCAGTATTGGAGCATGAGAAGTATAGCGGATAGCTATGCTCCCGACACACAGTACAAATGTAAATGGTAAATTAAAGACATAAGTCCACAAGGTGACCAAAATGTAAATTTTTTTGTTTCTATTCTCTATAGTTCTAAAGCTAAGAAAATAAACATTGGTTTTGGATAGACTTAAAAGCTAAATTCCAGGCTAGTGGCTAAATATAGTTAAAAGACATAGTTACATAGTCAGGCTAAAAAAAGACACATGTCCGTTGAGTTCAACCAAAATCTTTTACCTAACAAGAATTTGTCTTTCTGTAAAGCCTACCAGGCAGCGCAGTCAGACCCTTGACCTTCATTTCAGATTTGACAGCTTGGTCAGGACACACCCCAGCCTACTGATTGGACGAAGATGTAGAAGCACACTCATGGGGTCATCCCTTTTCTTACATTGCTTTCCCCCCCTGACTGCTTGCTCGTTGCCCACCATGTAGCCCACCTGAACAACTCCCAGTGCTGCCCTTCGCCATCACACTACATTACACTGAATTACAATACAAGGAGGCTTGTATCAAGATAAATCTGGGTACCTTCACTAGTTACTTTCAAAAACATTTGTAATGCTTACATCGGTACATTAATTGGCTTTATTTTTTATAGCTCTCTGGAGTTTAGCTTTAGGGCTGATTCACACGGGCAGGGGGGGCCTATACAGTATGAAAATATGGGATTGACAGGTGTTTGCAAACAGCTGCCTGTACAAATAATTAATAGTCTGCGGCTGTATGTGTGTCACTACACATCGCAGCATTTGCATGCATGCAGGGATAGATGATTGGCCCTAGATGTAAACTGTCTATGTCCAGGGCTCCTCAGCTGTTCCTGTATGCATGCACACGCTTGGATGTAAAGTGTCACTCATACATGAGTATAAGTTTTGTACAGTCAGCTCTACGCAAACACTTGCCACTCCTGGATGCCTCCCAGCCTCATAAACACATGGCTTTTCACACTGTATGGGCTCTCTGAGTCCACTAACATTAACACCAATGCCAGGATTCTGCAGACAGTCAACTTTCTTCTTATACCTCCTGTATGGGCAGGCAGTTACTGAAAGGCAGGAAGAATCAATGAAATACGAGAGTGCTCACCTGTGTCCTTGCAGTTCATTGAGAATTGCAAGCCTTTACCTGTGGCTACCGACGGTACGTGTAGTTCATTCATACACAGAACTCTGCTCCACCAACACGGCCGCACTCTTTGTAAATTGTGACAGCGTGTGCAAGGAGAAGATGTGCCGCCTGCTATCACAAGGAGAATGGGAGAGGGGATTGGGGGGGCGGGGAGGTGCATGAACTGAAACGTTACATGTTCTACCATAAAAATGGTCCACAGGTGAACTTATCTTTTAAACTAAATGAATAATACAAAATATTGATATACATCTCATCACCAAACTGTTTAATGGCTTGCTTGGAGCCTGGGTTTTCTCCAAATTTGACCTAAGAGCAATGTACTACCTGTGCCAAGGCCAAGGTTCTGTCATGTTCCCCAGTGGGTTCATTTATGCCTCTTTCTGTTCAACCACCTCCCGTCCGGCCGTTGTATATAAACAGTTGGACGGTGGCAGTGCAGGGTCGGGTGGCCGTTTATAAACGGCCTCTCTGCACCCTGATTGTGCGCACTCCCTGAGCACGCAGCACCGCGATCTGGTGCCCGCTGTGTCCTCCAGAACACCGATCGTCGCACAGGACCTCTGTACGAGGTCCTGATCATGTGATCACTGATTGGCCAATCAGTGATCACATGCAGAGTAGGAAGCAAGATGTCACTTGTGACATCATAGCTTACTACGTTTGAAATCTGTGAATGATCACAGAGGTCACATAGTACAAGGCTATTCACAACAGCCTTGTACCATGTGACAAGCTGTGACCAATCACAGCTCACTCAGTAGTTCTCAATGGCTGCAAGAATGCAGCTAGAGAGAAGGAGAAATGATTTCGTTTACATCCTTTATGGGTGTAAAAACAATCAGTGTAAAAAAAAAAAAAAATCATCACCCCCCACAAGTAGTACAGTGTCACCATGGTGACACTGTACTGCTGGAGTGACAGTATGTAAAAAAAATAAATAATAAAGAAAAAATAATATAAAATTTTTTTTTAAAAAATGTAAAAGAAAATGTTTAAAAATTATAATTTTTGGTTATAAACTAATTTGGGTTATTATTTTTTTACTAAAAATATAACGGAGTAAATTTTGGTCAAGATTTATGATGACATATTATTTATTTGCAAAATTTTATAAGAAAAACACTTTTTTTTTCAAAATTTTTGGACTTTTTAATTTACATAGCACA